GTAAATGGTACCAATAACAGCACATTTGAGCAATGCAATTGTAGTGGATAAAATGGTCAATTTTTCCGTGCAGTACTGTACGGATTATACGCTCCTCAACGGTTAAGAGTTTGGCCGAGAGTTGTCTCCTTCCTTTTCTGGCCTAGTGCTGTTCTTTTCTACTTTGCGCCGGTAAAACTGAAGGTCACATCGCTACAGAAACTAAACGAATTATGCAAACAAGCTCTGTGGTGGGACACTCTATAATATAAATATTCATATTCAAAACGTAGTTTAACTGAACAGCCCACAGTATTCTAGGACACCCTGTATTTTTGTATTTCGAATGTTGTTTTGAGAGAAAGAGAAAAGGAATAATCGAGGATTGGGATGGCCATTAAGGCAAAGAAAAGGAATAATGGATATTCCTTCCCTATTAGCATTAATCTGTAACTTTATTTTTCTATCAAAGTTCACAAAAACAGCGGCATCTAAAGGTAGCATCCATCCATTAATCTTTATCTAATTTCCAAAGGAATAATAAGATGGTACATTCATACACAACAGTAGACGTTTCCTTCCGTTTGATGTAATTAGTGTAAGATATGAGTCTTTTTAAGAAGAATACCATTATGAGAGGAAGAAAAATTCCAAATTTTGCAATCTGTTATATATATAATATATAGCATGGCGGCGCTTTGCGCTGTTTTCTTTCTGGAAATTCCTTAATATCCATCAAGAAAATATACATTAAAAAATCAATTTTCTTGATCCATCACAGAGGTGTTCTTCCTTAAAAGAGAAACCAAATTGAATAACGAACGGCATTCTCAGTGGCCAATTCCTTTTAAGAAGATTTAGTTAACGATTTTACTTAATTTTAATTTATGCTAATGCTAACACTAATTTAACTTCGAGGAAGTCTTTAGACTATTGTTGAAAATAACAAGAAGGAATTATAAGGATCGAAGGTTAATTATTATTCCCTTTTGACCACATTTATTAAATTTTCTCGGGCGAAATTTTCTTCGGGATAATTTTAAATATGCAACGTTTTTGCATGTTAATTAGACGAATAATTATAACAAGTTCCTAGAACTTAAATCTATATATATACATATATAAAAGCATGCTTGATACATCAGCCCCTGGGTCTAGAGTTAAAAAAATTTTGTACAGGTCTTCTTTATACAATGCATACTCAAATCGCTCAGTTAAAAAACTTGAAATTTTACACTATAAAATGAATTTTCAAAATACTACCCTTAAAGATATAAAATAGGGGCTTGCAATATAATCTAATTCCACGCGTAATAAGGTAGAAAACATAAAGCGTGTCTCATTTTAGGACACAGGTATAGATTAAAATTTTAAAAATCTACAGAAAATGCTTGCAATGCCACAGTTTTCTTCATTAAATTGTTCTCTATTCATATTTAACTTATTAGAGTTGTTTAAGTAATTATTTCACCCCTGTTTCGTTTATCTCAATTCTCTTGCCGAGAGAATTACTAATTTTGTTTCCAAAGTGTTTCTTTTATCAAAGATTGAGCGATTCAATAGTATATAAGCCGATAAGACTTATTAAAGTCCTTATAAACTTAATACTAGTGCTTTCGAAAATACGTGAAGAGTCGCAATCGTTGATAATGCCCATACTGAGACATGTGAACAAGTTTTGTGTTACTAAGGGTGAATTTCTTTTTGGTTTATTTATTTATTTGGAAGCAATTTGGTCGTTTTGTTTATTTATTTAGGTAATATTTAAAAATTAAATTTTATCGGTAATCAGAAATGAAAACACGAGTGCTGTATGTCAATGATACTGAGCTTTGATACTAAAATTTTACGAAAAAGGATGATAACACTTATGAAATATTTTAAGTAAACGTATAATATTAATCATACTTAATGCACCAACGTAAATTATTATGGTTTTCGTTAGCAGGATCAGTAGTCAGTTTTTAAATACCTAAAAGTAAAGTTATAAGACAAACTAAGAGTTAAGTGTCTCCCTTTTAATCTTCTTGGAGAATTGGTATATAACACATTTAATTGCTAAAGAAAAAGCTTCTGTAAATCATTTTAGAAAAAGGCGTAAAGGATTTGATAACACAAAGGAATAAAAAAAAGACTTACCTTGCATCTTCAGCCCTGGTGAATAGAATTACGGCTTTGGCGTTGCTTTTCTTTCTTAATTTGTTAATGATGTTATCGAATTGTTTGTCGTCAGCAGTTCGTGGTACTTTTTCGGACACGGCAATGCAAACGTCTCTTTCCTGGGCTTCTTTATGGAATACCTCTATCCCATGCTCTCCATAAGATCCTTCGGAGTAAACGGTTGAGACGTAAGACCAACCCATGCTTGTGACAATATCGACAAGGGCGATTGATTGAAAGGTATCAGGTGGTACAGTCCGAGCGAAATATTCAAATCGAGACTTATCGCTCAGAGCTTTGGCAGTAGATGCGGGTGATATTTGAGGAATGTGAAATAAACCAAGTAAATTGGCCACTTGTAACGATACTGTACTGTAGGAACCACCAATTACGCCAAAGACAGGGCCGGTAAAGTTAAACTTAAACCGAGGCAAAGAATGATCGCCGCATTCTAAGATTGAAGAGTCAATGGCGTTTAAGGAAGCCCTTATAAATTGTAGGGTTTGGTTTAAAGCGTACGTTTCTCTAGAGCAAGTATCCAAAATGTGGACCCCGATTATTATTCCTGGTAGTAGATCGGGATCCGCATTTATCATATCAATAGCGAATAACATCGCTTCCAACCTTTGGACACCGCGGTTGTAAATTTTGTCCCCACATGGTGACGATTCGCCCTTTTCGTGGATGGGAATTAAGCCTCCCAAAACTATCTGTCCGGATACCAACACTGCCATCTGCTCTGTCTTAGCAGTGTTGGTTACTAACAGCAGGGTAATAAAGGCTTCGAAGAGCACCATTACCCCGTCGGTAGATCCACGTTACATGGACCTCTGCAACAAAAGAAAACACAATGTAATCTACAATTAAAGATTAACAAAAAATTTACGGAAGAAACTGTTGTAAAATTATCATTAATTTGTATGGCATGTACGTTTCCGACATAGTCTGTAGTATACTTCATTTACTTTCTCTAGTGATGTGCCCCTTCAAACGCTCATTATACTCTCGACTCTTGTTCATTAAACATACTTTTTCATACAGCACCTGCCAAAAGTTTCGTTCAATCATGAATCGTAGTGCGAGTTGAAAACAAGCGTTAAAGCCTTTAATATGTCTTCAAATATAAATAAACATCTCGTTGATATTTTCAGTAGTAGGTGGTATCAATAACAGCACATTTGAGCAATGCAATTGTAGTGGATAAAATGATCAATTTTTCCGTGCAGTACTGTACGGATTATACGCTCCTCAACGGTTAAGAGTTTGGCCGAGAGTTGTCTCCTTCCTTTTCTGGCCTAGTGCTGTTCTTTTCTACTTTGCGCCGGTAAAACTGAAGGTCACATCGCTACAGAAACTAAACGAATTATGCAAACAAGCTCTGTGGTGGGACACTCTATAATATAAATATTCATATTCAAAACGTAGTTTAACTGAACAGCCCACAGTATTCTAGGACACCCTGTATTTTTGTATTTCGAATGTTGTTTTGAGAGAAAGAGAAAAGGAATAATCGAGGATTGGGATGGCCATTAAGGCAAAGAAAAGGAATAATGGATATTCCTTCCCTATTAGCATTAATCTGTAACTTTATTTTTCTATCAAAGTTCACAAAAACAGCGGCATCTAAAGGTAGCATCCATCCATTAATCTTTATCTAATTTCCAAAGGAATAATAAGATGGTACATTCATACACAACAGTAGACGTTTCCTTCCGAAATCGCTACATTATGATTTATTCCGATGTTCCTGTCAGATATTATATTACGTTTGTAATTCTTTTGATAATTTCTTCTTCGCAAGTTCTGACACTTTAAGAAATCTTGTCTTCAGTTCGTTAAATTTTGTTGCTAATAATACAATAAATTTAAATTTTCTTTCTTCAATTTGCAAACCCAACTTTTCATTTTATTTTTTATGATTTTCAGGCAAATATACAGATGCAAGCTTCTTTTATTATTACCTACACAATTAATATTTCTTAACATCTATATGCTCTATTGTACGAAACATATTTTTTGAAAATTGTAGCCTGAAGGGTACCTACATGCACAACAGCTTTGCGGTTTTCTTCCCGTACTGTTCTATTATGAATAGGTAAATCATGATGTGTCAATCAGGAAGTACATTTCCTTCTAGCAACTAAAATTGAATTCTGTAATTGCTTAGTAATAAGTAATACGGAAATTGCCTTTTTATTGACCGTTTAAGTTATATCGCAGCGTATGGTCAAACCACATTGATTTAATTTTGGCAATTGCTAAACTTGGCAACAGCAATATGAATTATTACATCCACCATAACCACTATCTTCATTGAAATTAAAATATTATTGATAAACATAAAATTTGAAGCTTACTAGGGTCAATTGAAAAGTCCCCGGCCTGACACATAGATGGCGGCACCAGAACTAAATCCATATGATTTTCAGTTAGTCCTAACCTTCAAAAGACGCGTCTATAAATTTGACGGCTGTCGGATCATTAGTTTGTGAATTATAGCATTTTTAGTGAAGCAACTTTTGTTATTGTGAAAAAAATGGATAAAAAGGAATTTCGCGTGTTGATAAAATATTGCTTTTTGAAGGGAAAAAATACAGTTGAAGCAAAAACTTGGCTTGATAACGAATTTCCGGACACTGCCCCAGGAAAATCAACCATCAAGGATTGGTATGCTAAGTTTAGACGTGGTGAAATGAGCACCGAAGACGGTGAACGCAGTGGACGCCCAAAAGAGGCTGTTACGGACGAAAACATTAAAAAAATCCACAAAATGATTTTGAATGACCGTAAATTGAAATTGAATGAAATAGCAGACACTCTACAGATATCAACGGAACGTATACATCACATCATTCACGAATATTTGGGTATGAGAAAGCTCTGTGCAAAGTGGGTGCCGCGCGAGCTCACTTTTGACCAAAAACAACGACGAGTTGATGATTCAGAGCAGTGTTTGAAGATGATCACGCGTAATAAACCCGAGTTTTTGCGTCGATATGTGACAATGGATGAAACATGGCTCCATCATTTCACTCCGAAGTCCAATCGACAGTCATCGGAGTGGACTGCACACGATGAACCCGCTCCAAAGCGTGCAAAAACGCAACAGTCGGCTGGCAAGGTTATGGCGTCTGTATTTTGGGATGCGCGTGGAATAATTTTCATTGACTACCTTGAAAAAGGAAGGACCATCAACAGCGACTATTACATAGCGTTATTGGACCGTTTGAAGGACGAAATCGCCGAGAAACGACCGCATTTGCAGAAAAAGAAAGTCCTGCTTCACCAAGACAATGCACCGTCTCACAAGTCAGTGAAAACGATGGCAAAAATTCATGAATTGGGCTTCGAATTGCTTCCGCATCCACCGTATTCTCCAGATCTGGCCCCCAGCGACTACTTCCTGTTCTCAGATCTCAAAAGAATGCTCGTTGGGAAAAAATTTTCGTCGAATGAAGAGGTGATCGCCGAAACTGAGGCCTATTTTGAAGCAAAGGACAAATGGTACTACAAAAATGGTATCGAAAAGTTGGAGGATCGCTATTATCAGTGTATCACCCTTGAAGGGAATTATGTTGAATAAAAAAAACGAATTTTGCAAAAAAAATGTGTTTTACTATTTTAGGCCGGGGACTTTTCAATTGACCTGTTACAATTCAATCAGTTTGACAGATAATTGACCAGTTATTACTTAAAATCCGAAAGAGAGGCCATATTTAATTCGACGACCCTTATTTTTATCTTTGCACAGAAACTGTAAATAATAAACAATTTGTAAAACTAGTTACAGTTGTAACAATAACTACTACTCAACTATAGAAGGAATAGAATAAGTTCACAAGATCGCACGTGTAGTTATTACGAATGTGAATGCAATCAAAATTAATTAGCACAAATTTATCAAAACATCCGAGCTCCAGAGATGCAGAAAATTAAAAAGAGAAAGCTTGATAATGAAAATAAATCTGAAACTTTCCTTGTTAAAATTTTACCTTTTGTTTATCTAGCACGTCTAACGATATTTGCGATAAAAGCCTTAACGAGAAATGCTAGTGGATTTTAGACTAAACTTTTAGTTTTTGTTTAAGCGAAGCGTCACCTAGTTTACTTGTTTAATAAATACTAAGGGCGGCTGGCGACTGTTGTGCTGCAGAACTCCAAAAAAATAGACATTTATGTATTTTGCGACCTGATTATTAGGATTTATTAACAATAATTTAATGTATCTGTGTTATTGTTACTGTTGTTTAAATGTTTAAAAAATAAATTTTAAAAATAAAAGTTTACTTGTCATACCATACAAAATGACCGAAAGGGTCTTTAAAACTGGGCCGCACAATGGGTTTTGTGTGCTATGTTCTCAAACAAATGATGCAACATAAGCCTTTCGCAGTCGTCGACGGGAATAGATTAGAGGGTCGCTTTTATCATAAGTATGTATTTCATTTCAGTATTATTATTAGGTGTAATATTCTGCAAAAATGATTGTAATATTTTTACAACGTTTGAACAACCGTCCTCTTACAGAATAATTAATCAATGGAATAAAGCCCTTCTATGATATTACCGTTTTAATGTTCGGGTTCTACCAATGAGCGAGATGCACTTTATCCTATAAAATGAATTAATAATGCTCGGCGTAATGGAACTGTTATATATACTATAAGATACACTCTACCAATTGATTCCGATTATTCCAGACCGCAGATTTTATTGTAATATGTACCTATATCTAGCTTCAAGAAATTAAATTCAAGAGGAAGAAATAAAGCGAAAAAAAAATAAGTGTTTGTTATCTTTTATGTTTATTTATTCTGCTACTACCACAAAAGGTGTCGCTAGATATTTTCCAACGTTTTGTGATTATTACGCTTGATTGCTGACGCTCCTAAATTTGTGAAGAAAGCTGCCTTGCTCCTATTTCTCAAACGAAACGAAGTCTCTACAATGTGATAGAAAACTAGTTTACTCCTCTTGCTCTGGAATATTGTTGAAAGAAAGTTACACAACAAAAGATTCACAGAAGGATGAAATATAACTACTTGATGCGTAAAGCGTATAAAATATTTATTATTTATTTTTCTACGACTTGTACCTAGGTATATAAAATTATGGTAGTTAAACCAAAGTGCAGTGAGTAGTGAAATTTTTTATCGGGATCCGTTTTTCTCCGAAAAGGAAATAATGTTTAATCATCAATTCAATTACCTACCCAGTTTACTATTGAATCAATAGCCTTAATTAAAGTTGCAATATATTATCAACGTCTCTAAAAACGTCACCGTGTTGCAGGTAATTACGTTCAAATTAAAAGCAGGCTAATTTATAAGGTGCAATTAATATCTTGTAAATTTTAAGTAGGTAGCACTCCTTTCCTATCTAATTGTTTCGAAGAAGCAAACTTCAAAAGTAGAAATACTGAGCTTTATTCGCAATCATTATATGGAAGGAATGCACCTAAGCTGTTCTCTTTTATTGTTAGTAGATGCATTCAAAATGAATACCTTTGCAAAATCGTAAGGTAAAATCGGCATTCTGTTACTGTGAAATTGAAGGCACTCCGTATGAGTCTTTACAGCCAGAAACAAAGTGCTTCACCTATTCTAGTTTTCGTTTATACACAAAAAAGTAAAATAACTTGGAAAATTTTCCCACTCTTTCCTATCCTGAGCTAATCTTCGCATTTCCCTAAAAATAGAACAACCTACATCTTTAACTATTTGCGAACAGTAATCTTTCTAATCTAGGTCTTCCTCTACCCCTCTTAACTTCCGTTTCTGCCTCTAATATATCTCTAGACTAGACCTTCATGCCTGAGAAGGTATCTTAC